ACGTGTCCGGGGGGCACCACGTCCAGCCCCATCGGTGAGGACTCCTGCGCCCTGGAAAGGAGCGAGCTGGGGGCTGGGGGCCGGATTCCGGGTCCGAGAGGGGAGGAAGAGGAAGGGTGCCTGGTGGAGGGTAGACCCCAAGTCCTGACCACGCAGTGCCTCCCCAGCCAGGTACCCCAACGCTCTGCAGTGCGTGAACATCCGCGTCACCTCTCGTCAGCAATGCCAGCAGGCCTACCCCGGCGCCATCACCGCCGGCATGGTCTGTGCGGGAATCCCGGAAGGCGGGAAGGACTCCTGTCAGGTGAGGCCCAGGGTGAGAGCCGGAGGGAGTTGGGGGGACGGGGGGTTGGGGGGGGAGGTGGCTCAGGGCCGGGATTTCAATGCAAAAGGACCTCAGGGGCAGCCAAGGCCTTGAGCGATTGGAATAGCCGGGCGGCCTCCCAGCTGTGAGCTGTGGGAACGGACCTAATCCCTCTGCGCCTCAGTTTCCTCCTCTGTCCAGCGGAGGCAGCACCCCTTAGAGCCGTGGGCGGATCAGACGAGATGGTCCGTGGAAAGAGCGCGAGCGGTGCCTGCACGCGGCTCTGATCGCTGCTGTCCTTGTCCTGATTGTGCACCTGGGAATCTGTGCTCGGGCCTCCGGGCATCTTACTCCAGCCCCGGGAGATGGCTCCAGAGTCAGGGGAGGTGTGATGAGCCACACACAGTTTTCTAGAGACACAGCTAAGACGAAGGGGGGCTCCGTGAGGCCCCGAGACAGCAGGGACCAAAGGGGGAAGGAAGGGACCCAACCCTGGGGCTGATGTCTGCAGTCTTTCCACCACCCCCCCCACTCCCCACCTTCCCAGGTATCAGCCATGTGCCTCCCCATCTCGGCCTTTTCTCTATGCACATGGCTCTGTCCATTCGCTCACGGGTGTCTCCATTGGGGTCTCTCGCCCTCAGGGAGACTCCGGAGGACCCCTGGTGTGCAACGGGAAACTCCAGGGCCTGGTGTCCTGGGGGATGGAGCGCTGTGCCCTGCCTGGCTACCCCGGAGTCTACACCAACCTCTGCCAGTACTACGACTGGATCCAGCAAACCATTCTGAGCGCGTGATCACCAGTGTGAGGGAATATTGATGCCCACCTGCTGCCCACACCTGCTCTCTCCACTCAAGACCAGTGGCTCCTCTCGCAGCCCCAGGAGCCCAGGCCCCCAGCCCCTCCTCCCTCAGACCCAGGAGTCCAGGGCCCCAGCCCCTCCTCCCTCAGACCCAGGTGTCCAGGCCCCCAGCCCCTCCTCCCTCAGACCCAGGAGTCCAGCCCCCCAGCCCCTCCTCCCTCAGACCCAGGCATTATTCTATTTATTGGGAGTTCAGGCCCCCAGCATCCTGGTCCTAACCCCTGGCTCAGAACTTCCCTCTCCCAGAGGGTCCCTCAGATGTTCTCTCCCCACCCCCACAGCATCATCACCCTCAGACACAGAGGCGGGAGCATGAAGGCACCAAACTTGGCAACCTATTCCGAAGAAGACAGTTTTCAAAATGCTTAGCGTCTCTGTAAACCAGACGAATAATAATAAAAATGGAATAATCCTAGATTCCATTCATCTGTTCATGTAATTCATCCAACATCCGTGCACACAGCAGCTCCCCTGGGCACAGCGAGGCCGTGTCTGACCGGCTGAATGGGTCACCTGTGGTCCCTGGGTGTTCCCTGGGGGTCTACCACATCCCTCTCCACCGGGATGGTGTGAAGAAGGCGCCCCCCCACCCCTGGCGCTGCAGTGTCACCCTGAGCAGGACCGCCCCTCCCTGGCCTCTGGGCTGGGCCCTGTGAGCGGGCACTGCTGAGGTCCAGGGCAGGGAGGGCAAAGACGTACCTGTGTTTCCTGGAAAACCCCATGCAGATGAGCAGTCTTTGTCCTAATCAGATCTCAGGTGAAGAGAGTCGAGTTAATCACCCTTTGAAGTTCAGGTCCTGGCAGGGCCCGGCTCCCAGCAGCTGTAGTTCCACCTGTCATCCCTGGCCTAGGTCTCCTCCCTCCCCAGCGGCACCGACGCAGATGGCCTTAGATGCCAGGGCACTGTTGCTTCTAACTTGCAGGAAACCATCGTGTTATGAATTTCATCTTCTTTCTTACTTTCATTCATCGACAGCTATTTTGGGGGGGCACCTACTATGCGCCAGACACTGGTCTACTTCTCTGGCTCCTACGGTGTGCCAGGCAGTGGTCTACTAATAGACACCTACTGTGTGTCGGACATTGGCTTATTATTGGGCATCTACTATGTGCCAGGCATTATTCTATGTAGTGTGCCCCTACTGTGTACCAGGCACTGGTCTACTGATTAGGCACCGACTGTGTACCAGGCATTGATCTACTGATTAGGTACCAATTGTGTACCAGGCATTGATCTACTGATTAGGCACCTACTGTATTAGACACCTACTGTGTATTAGACATTGGCTTATTATTGGGCATCTACTATGTGCCAGGCATTATTTCTATGTAGTGTGCCCCTACTGTGTACCAGGCACTGGTCTACTGATTAGGCACCGACTGTGTACCAGGCATTGATCTACTGATTAGGTACCAATTGTGTACCAGGCATTGATCTACTGATTAGGCACCTACTGTGTACCAGACACTGGTCTACTGATTAGGTACCAACTGTGTACCAGGCATTGGTCTACTGACTAGGCACCTATGTGTGCCAGGTATTGATCTACTGATTAGGCACCTACTGTGTACCAGGCATTGATCTACTGACTAGGCACCTATGTGTGCCAGGCATTGATCTACTGATTAGGCACCTCCTGTGTGCTAGAAGGTGGAGCTGTGAATAAATCAGACAAACCTAAATGCTTCTTCTCACAGAACTTACCTCCTAGCAGGAGATGACAGACAAGAAACAAGAAACTTAATTTAAAAGTAAGGTAGAGAGTCCGGGTAAGCAAGAAGGTCAATAAATGTGGGCTGGGCAGCAGGCCCAGTGTGTGCCAGAGCCAGCTCATAGCCAGCCCAGAAGAGCCCATTGGCACATTTTCAGGAATTTTGAGAGCGGGTTGCTAAACACAGCCATTGTTAAAAATTAAATTGCATAAACTTACAATTAAACGAAGGTATATTTAAAACTAAATCCAGTCCGGCCGGAGTGGCTCGGTTGGTTGAGCGTTGTCCCAGGCACCGAAAAGTTGCCAATTTGACTCCCAATCAGGACACATCCCTGGCTTGTGGGTTCGCTCCCCAGGGACATGTACAAAAGGTAACTAATAGATGTTTCTCTCTCTCCTCCTTTCCTCTCTCTAAGCATGTTCTCGGGTGAGGATTAAAAAAATGAAATAAATAAAACTGAAAGGGTATCTTTAAAAAAAAAACACTCAAAACGAATCCATTGCTAATTATGTTTACCAATATTCATTCTTTGATGTTATTTATGTCTATTACATTACACCTGGTGATAGTGGGCTTCTGAGTATCTTTTTGTAAAATATATATATATTTTTATTGATTTTAGAGAGAAAAGGAAAGGGAGAGCGAGATAGAAACATCAATGATGAGAGAAAATCATTGATCGGCTGCCTCCTGCACGCCCCCTACTGGGGATCCAGCCCTCAACCCGGGCATGTGCCCTGATCGGGAATCAAACCGTGACCTCCTGGTTCATAGGTCGATGCTCAACCACTGAGCCACGCTGGCCGGGCTGAGCACATTTTTTTCTGATTCAGTGTCAAGCGACTTTGCAATGGTAGGTTGATACCAACTGAAGGGGCAGTATTTACACTAGAGAAATTGGCAAATGGGGCAGATCAAGAGAGCTGTTAACCGCTCACCCACACACTACTGGACAGATCAGCGTGGGAGCAACCTGCTGATCTTGGTGTCTGTCGTCTCATAGTTCTGTGCTGCGGGGGTGGGTGGGGGAGAGGCTGCACAATTCAGGGTGAAACACAGTATGGCTTCATCAGTGCCCACGTGCTGTGCTGAGGGAACAGCACAGAATCAGAGAGTCCTGAGCTGGCAGCTCTGGGACCTGTGTGACCACAGCAGCTCAGAAGATTTCTGGGAAATGTCCTGGCCAAGTTGCTCAGAGCATCATCCAGAGACACTGAGGTTGGTTGTGGGTTCGATCCCCAGACAGGTCACACACAAGAATCAATCAATGAGTGCATAAGTGGGTGGAGCAATCTCTCTCTCTCTCTCTCTCTCTCTCTCTCTCTCTCTCTCTCTCTCTCAAAATTAAAAAAAAAAAATAAAAAATAAAATAAAATGCTTGCCCTAACTGGTTTGGCTCAGTGGATGGATGAATGGAGTGTCAGCCTACGGACTCAAGGGCCCCAGGTTCGATTCCAGTCAAGGGCATTTACCTG